AACACACTGGGGCTCTGTGGAGATGGTTTCCAGGGTGGGTGAAAGAGACCCCACTTTTCCTACCACTGGAATGTAGTTCTACTCAGTTAGAAATGATTAAGAAGTGATTCTTCCAAATGAGAGGAGCAGCGAGTGACGGAACCCATGACAGGCAAATAAATGTCAGGACTTCTGTTTTCTTTTCCCCCCAAATTTTGCCAGTCATGGTGTCTTTCAGGATGATTAAAATGTTTTCAAGTTGGTTCTGATTCGCAACTCTGTGAATATGCTAGAAATCAGCGAACTGAACAGTTTAAGTAGGTACCCCACATCGTATTTTAATTATAGCTCAATGAAGCTGGTATTTTTTCAAAATAATTCAGGGGCACCTGGGTGGCTCAGTCGTTAGGCGTCTGCCTTCGGCTCGGGTTGTGATCCCAGGGTCCTGGGATCGAGCCCCACATTGGGCTCCTTGCTCCGCGGGAAACCTGCTTCTCCCTCCTCCACTCCCCCTGCTTGTGTTCCCTCTCTCGCTGTGTCTCTGTCAAATAAATAAATAAATAAATAAATAAAATCTTAAAAAAAAAAGAGAGAATGCAAAGATGAATTTGCCTTTTATAAAGCAGTCAGTCAACAAATGTCCATTAAACACCCACCAGGGAGCCAGGCACTGTGCCAGCTCTAGGCGCACCACAGTGAGCAAACCAGACACAGAGTCCCTGTCCTCCTGGAGTTTCCAGTCCAGTGGGAAAGAGGCAAAACTCACCCTTTTAAATGTCTAATTACAAAATGGAAAACGTGCAGAGAAGGGAAAGAACAGGGACCCAAGAGAGCTGAAGGGACAGGAAGGATTTTCCTGAAGAAAAGACACAGGAGCTGAGGAAGCTCCTGAGCTGAGTGAAGTGGAGAAGTGTTTTACACTGAGGGGGGAGAGCAAGTGCAAAGGCCCTGTGGCAGGAGGGCTAACCAGGCACCTGTGTGGCTGGAATACAGAGAGCAAGGGATGGATCGATAGGGCCTTGAAACTGAGATGGCAAATCTAGATTCTGGTCTCGCAGCAGGAAGTCTCTGCAAGTAGTGAGCAAAGGTGGACACCATCAGGTTCCTAACCTGGCCCCTCTGGATCCTGGGAGGAGGAGAGGTGTGGGGGGTCAGGAGCACTGATGTGGAGAGACGAGCTAGAGATAGGGTGGCTGGCTGGGGATTGCAGGGATGACGGCCAGGAACACGTGATTCAGAGGCAAAGAGGGACAAAGTGGACCCAGACGGTGAGAGGGAGCGGTGGTGCCCCCCCCCCCGCCCCCGCCGCCTGGTTTCCACCTGCTGTCATCCTGATTCCTTTGATTTTTGGTCTGATGAGTCATCTGTGAGTCATCACCCCCACAATCACCGCTGTTTTTTCCTTTTTCAACAATGAACTTGTTTTTAGCCACTGAGCCATTATATTACAGGCCAGTGGATTTGGAGGCCCTTCTCCAAAGACGGTTCTGGGGAAAATTTAAAAGGCTATTTAATAAAAGATTCACCATAGCATGGCTGTCACTACATATGCTGCTCAAGGCTGTCATGCGCAGGGTGGGGTCCAGCTGGTGACCCTCTGGAGCATGACTGTGGGGCACAATGCCCCGTCTTGGCTCCCCGGGGGCCCAGTGGGGTGGTGCCCATGCTGGGCCACGACCAATCCTGCTGCCCCTTCTCCATGTGGATTCTGTGACACCCTGGCATGCCTGCCACCACAGCTCTGGGCCAGAACACCCACCATCCGCAGGGCTCCCAGGATGGCCTCCCGCTGACCCAGGGTAGGCTTCCATCCTTGTAAAATATTAACCTGTTAACGTTCTTCTGAACTCACCCATTTGCTAAGATGGTATCCCCAGAACCCCCTTTTCTGGGGGTCTGCTCTGAGGCAGGCTGGGGATATAGAACCACTGGCAGGACATAAAGTACCTCCATTTTGCAGTCACAGTCACCCACCACCCCCCATCAGAAACCCGAGCATGGCCTCTCCTGGAGCATCTCCTTCATCTGTGAAGTCCCCGTTCCTCAGACCACCTTCTGAATATTCTGGAATCCACCTCCTCCTCTCCAGCTCCCTTTGTCTGCCCTGGTTCAGGCCTGGTTCCATGTGCCTGGAAGACCAGGCCAGTCCCCCTCATCCTGGCCTCCCAACCCCCGTCCCTGCTGCCAGCCCCTGGGTGCCAGCCATGCCCCCGCACGGTGAGACCATTTACCCCTGGTCTCCCCAACTCTCACTCTCTCTTCCTTCCTCCTTCCCCCCCTACTTAACTCGCTTCCATGTGCCCCTCAGGACTCGTCTCAGAAGTCACCCTTGGGAGGCCCCCTTGACCTTCAGGTGGGGTCACTTTCTTCCCCTGGGCTACGCTTTACCCACTGTGCTGCAATGTCTGTCTGGAGCCTGCCTTCACGGTCAAGGCTCAGATGGCTGGATAGGGTGAGAACAGCTCCTCCCAGGGCTCCGGGGTGCTGTTCAGAAACAAGGAGCAGCCCTGGGCACACATGGGGCATCACTGGGGCTGTGTCTAGGATCAGTATAAGCCACAAGAGGGCCCTGGGACACATCAAAGCCTGGGGCAATTACTGCCTGATCTCCAGCCCTGGCCTGGTTCATTCATGTTTTCACTCAGCAAACACCAGGGAAAGCCTCTTCCTTCTCACCATACCCCACCCCCGGGGCAGGCCCCGAGCTGGGTGTCTGGGCCTAGAGGGCCTACTCCCTGTGGTGTTGGAGCCAGGCCTGGACAGGACAGTGGGAGGCGGGCTCTGCTGGACATAGCTGGTGAGGGTGGAGGGCACTTTTAACCCTTCTCCGATTCCAAGAGGCCAGGACGGTCCTCGTTTCCACAGCAGCAGAATTTCAAAAGTGGCTGCCCAAAGGGGCTGGCCGATGTCACCCAGGACCCTGGAGCCTGAGCTCCTGACTACATTTGAATCTGCCTCTGCCTGCACCTGGAGGAGGTCTTGTGGCTGGTGGGGGATAAACCCCTGGGGACCAGGGGTTCATGGGTTTTGACAGCAAAACCTCCCTGAAGTGTTCGCCTGGGAGGGAGCACCACTCACGCCACAGAAGCTGCATTGGTGGTTGGTTGGTCTCTTGGCCCTGAGCTGCAAGGGTGGGTTTCCCTGAGGCTCATTAGGCGACGGGGCACCCCCAAAGTGCAGTTAGGGCTACCAGTCAAAGGGACAGGCTCAGGGTGGTCCCTGGTGCGGATGCTCCTCTCCCCAACCAGAGCGGGCGCCCTCCAGGGGAGCCTGCATGCTGGGACCCGCGGTCAGGCGGGAGGAGCCAGGAGCGGCGCGGCGCCAGTGGACAGAGCGCGAGGACAAGTCGCAGAGCCTCAGTTTCTCCATCTAGAAACCGGCGGCGGTTGTGCAGTTTGGACGGCACACGGTAGGCCCTCAAGCGGGAGCGTGACTGCTCATCCCTCTGGCTTGGCCGAGATGAGGCCTGGAGCCCCGACCTCCGGGGACCCCACTGAGTGGCCGCTGCTCTTCGGCTTCAGGTCACTGCCGCGGCCCCCAGCGCACAACGCCCGGCCGCTCTGTGAATAGGAGTGCGCGTGCGCGGGGCCAGACGGCTGCGGCGCATCGGCGCCCCCGCGTGGCCACAGCAGGAACCACCGGCCTTGTGAACAGACGGTGTTAGGGGCCTCCCGGCCTCAGACAGCCCGTTGGGGTGATCATCTAAGGAGCGCGAACCCGAGAGTATGTGACAATCTGAAGGCGTGACAGCCCTAACAGTAACAGATCACATCTGGACACGTGGTCATCTCAGGTCCAGAGTGGTGAGTGAGTTCCCCAAGATCAGGACTGGCTCTGCCTGAGGCCCTATGTCTAACACTGTCAGTGGCATACAGCAGGTGTTTAATAAATGTTTGTGGCGTGAGAACGAGTAAGCCATCTGTGTGTGCAGTGGGGTTGGAAGTGGTGGTATCAGTGGTCAGATGGTCACAATGTGCGTCTACACTCTGACCTTCTGGCCACCCTCAGAAAGGGCCCGTCTCTGAAGTCCCCAGCCACTGGAAGGTGGGGCAGAGAGACAGAGGGAGGCTCAGGCCCCATACAAACTGTGATGGGCCCGGCCCAGTCCCCTGCACAGGGCAGAGCAAGGCTCCCTGCTCCTGGAGCCTGGAAGCTTCTGGTCAGGGCGGCCTCTGCACATCACCTCTAGCCTCTCCCGCAAGAGGCCAGGCAGAACAGAGGTGGGGATGGAAGTGGGAGCTGCATACTAGCCTGACCCTGACCCTCCCTGGGGAGGGCAGAACAGGAAAGGCAAAGTCAGGGCTGCTGGGGGTGGTGATGTGGGAAACGAAGGCAGAAGAAAAATTATTAAATTTCCTCACTACTTAACAACCACTGACAAGTCCTTGAAACAAGCAGAGTGACATTCCTCTAGGGACTCAGCTGCCGGGATGTTGACACTTTACTAAGGGCAAAGGGCAATCTTAGCTTGACCCCCAGGACCCTGTAAGTCTACTTAACGCAGAAAAATTCCTTTGGAAACTTCCTTTATCTCGAAACCCCCAAGATACATGTTGGCAGTCATCCTCCGAGCATATGACACACCGATATACATCTGAAGGGTCTCGTGACACTTTTTACTGAACAGTAATAAATGACCTTTTCCTAACAATAGCTAGCCCCCTCAGGATCCTGGAAACCTTGCTTCCAAAATTCCTTAGAAACTTATGCTATCCCTGATGCCCTCCTAACTTGAAAGTATATATATAATGGGCCACTCCTCGCCACCCCAGAGCAGCTCTTTCTGCCCACGGGTCCTGTCCCGCGTGCTTTAATAAAACCACCTTTTTGCACCAAAGACGTCTCAAGCGTTCCTTGTTGGCAGTGGGCTACGAACCCTGACATCTTTCCTATATCAGTGGGACTGCGGGCAGGGCGGGGAAGTGCGATGTGGAAGGGGCATGTGGGCGCAGAGGCTGGGAATGAGCCCCAGGTCCTTGCCCCCGACTCCCTGCGGCCATGCCCCAGCCACGTGGGCCAGCCTAGGGGCTGAGGCTGGGGAGGGGGTCCAGGCCAGGCTCACAGCCCACGGGCAGGGTGGGGGCCTCGCTGGGTGGGATGTGGTGGGTCATGTAGCGCTTCCCCATGAAGGAGCCAATCCGCAGCTGCTCCGGGGCCTCCTCAGGCCACCACAGGCTGGAGCTGGATGGGGAGAGGAGGCCGCACTAGGTCCCTGCTGGGTGGAGCCCACTGCCAAGCCCGGGCCTCCTCCCGCAGCCTCTTCCTTTCCTTCCTTCTAGAACCAGCTGCTGGCCCACCTCCTCCAGGTGGTTGTCCTGACTACCCTGGTATCAGTTCCCTGAAGTGACTGAGGGCTGGCTGGCGAAAAAACAAGGCCCAGCAGGAGAAAGGCCAGGGCCAAGGACACACTGAAGGGCAGGGCGGAGCAAGGTGGCCCCTTTTCTGAACCTGTGTTCAGAGGAGCTGCTGGGCCACCTCCCTGCCCTCCAGGTGAGAGAGACTTGGGGCAGAAATCCCCCGAACATCCCTAGAAGGGGCATCGCCAACTCAAAACCGCAAGGTTCAAGGAGGGCTTCCAGGTGCCAGGACCAGGGAGAGGGAAAGGGCTCTGCGGGGTGGGAGAGAGGCCCATGGGGCCGTCAGCACTCACAAGCACGCGGTGGACGCTGCCAGGAAGGCCAAGAGCAGGAGGCCGGCCAGAGAGCAGAGGATGGAGGTGATGATGATCATGTCACCACTGCGCCGCCCTGGCCACGTGTCGATGGAGGCTGGCGCCTTCCCTGCACACAGCAGCAGCTCAGAGGCTGCCCCTGGACCCCAGGGCAGTCATGTCCCCACCCAAGCTCACACTCAAGGCCTGACAGCCTCCTGAGCCCACCCACCTGTCCATCTCAGCCGGGCATCTGGGCCCTGCCCGCCTGTATCACCCACAGCTCCAGCCCCTTGGTCTCACCTTCTAGGCTGTTCCTGCCAATGTGCCTGCCCACCGCCCTGCCCACGACTGGGCTGGAACCTGGGCACCCGAGGGGTGACCAACATTTGGGCATGGACAGAGCCGGTGTGTCTGCCCATGAGGCTGACCCGGTGCCCCACCTCCCCAGCACAAGCTTCTGTTTGGGGGAGGGGCTGGACTTGGACACACTGCCTCCAGGCCCCCAGTCTCATGGCAGCAGGGGGAGAGGTCGGCTGAGCATGACCATTTGGCAGGGGGGTGACGAGTCCACAGGGGTAGACTGGAGCCGGAGCACCCCTCTCCCCAGGGCTACCTTGGTGGAGAGCAATGGGGTCGGACCACCTGGTCTCGGCCTGGGGTGAGCCCCTGGCATCCATCAGGAGGAACTTCACTCTGTGGGGAGGAGAAGCAGGGAGGTCTGAGCCTCAGCTGCCCTGGGCAGGGCGCCCACAGTGGCCAAGCTCCAGGCAGTTCTGGGCCAGGCTCTTCTGGGGCACATCGGGATCAGCTGTGGCCTGGTCCCCCTCTGGGGGCCCTCTGAGACCGCGCTGACCACAGTGACCTCTGCCATCAGTCCCAGTGCACTGAGCCATTGCTCTCCAGACACCCCATCTGGTTTAGGGGGCCCCAGTCACTAAATGTCATATACACAGTGCCTCAGGGTGGCTCAGTGGGTCAGATGGAGCTGGGAGCCCCAGGCCTCCCAGAGAAAAAGGCTGGCCAAGTGGCACCTAGGAAGCCATAGAAGGCCCCCCACTAGGCTCGGGCACCCTAAGCAAAGGTCCAGGGAGGGAGGGGTGTGGTCAGGGTGCACTCAGAGCCTGGGGTCCCAGGGCGGGGGCCGGCTGAGCACTGAGGGCACCAGAGGCCGCGCAGAGGAGGTCTGGTTGTATCTTTGTGCCAGGTGGGGAGCCCTGGAAGGTGTCTGAGCAGGGAGGGACCCAGGCGGTCTGGCACCGAGGGCAGCCAGCTCCGGTGGCTGCTAGGGATGGGGGCAGGAGGTAAGAGGAAGCCGAGCCAGGAAGTAGGCATGGGGGAGGTGGGAGGGTGGTCCTGTCCAGGCAGGGGCTGCGCAGAGGCAGAGGGAGGCTGTGGATGGAAGCGTGGGTCCAGCCCACACCATGCCCCACCTTCCCTGCACCCCGTGCTGGTTTTCTCGGCCAGACTTGGACTCCCTGAGGACCCCTGGGCCTGGCTCTTCTGGGGCATATCGGGACCAGCCCCCAACTGGACACCTGCTCTCATTGCGGCTCCCTCCGTGACCCTGACAAGCCCATGGTGCCCTGTGCCTCAGCTTCTTCACCGGAGAAAGTGGGTGGTAGTCTTATTTCCTGCTTCCCTGCCTCATACCCACTGCTTGGCCCCGGACTCAGCCTGGGGCTTAGATTCCTGCCGGATCTACCCATGGGCTAGTGGCTGCAGCCCAGCACCCCCCACCGCCCAACTCTGGGCCTGAGACCCCACCAGCCCTTTGGTGCCCACTTCTTCCTCATGGGCAGGCTTCCCGGAAAGGCCACATTCTGCCTGCCCCCCCAACTGGGATGAGTGCTGCTCCTTGACCCCACAGAGGCATAAACCAAAGCTTGTGAAGGGGAAGGGTCTGGGGAGAGGCTAGGAAGGGCAGCTCTCTAACCCGAGACCCCTTCTCCCCCAGCACAGCCCCTGTCCCAGGGTCCAGGTGGAGTGACCCACCTGTAAGGTCCAGGGCTCGGGAGGGGGCTGTTGCAGTAGGGTGGCTGGTGGAGGTCAGCAAGGCAGCCGGGGTCACTGCCAACCCGCAGCAGGGGGACGTCCCTGCTGCCACCCTGGGGGTCCTCACAGGGCAGCTGGTCCAGGGATAGGGGCAGTGTCATATAGTGGCCATCAGTGAGCAGCCGTGGGAAGGCTGGGATCTCAGCTCGTGTCTGCGGGTTCTGGAAGTCCCTGGAGGCTGCAGAAGAAAGGGACAGACAGATGGGGCTAGAGGGCCTAGCCCCTTGCTGGGTCTAAGGCTCCCTGCCCGCCTGGCCCCTCCACGCCTCAGGGCCCAGAGGCTCCCTCCAGGCACAAACCAGGTTACTTTGTCACCCTCTCAGAGCCCGTTCAGGATAAAGCCCAACGCCTGGTCCACCACTGGCCAGCTCTCCTCAGCCCCAGACCCGCACCGTGACACACCATTGCTGAAGGCCACCACCAGCCAGATGGTGTTGGCAACGCCAGCATGCCCGTCCAGGACACAGCGAGGCTGCTCCAGGGAGAACGTGGTAGCTGTGACCTTTCCTTCCAGGTCCCAGGCTGTTATCTGCGGCGTGTAGGGGATCAGCTCTGTGGCCACGGAGATAGGCATGAGGGTCCTGGGACCTGCTCCCCGCCTCCCCGTTAGAGGTGGGGGGGCTCCCAGGATCCAATAACCCCAGCGGGTGGTCCCAGCCCCTTGGGTCCGGCCAGGTGAATTCATCCCAGGACCCCCACTCACCCAGGCTCACACAAGATGAGGGCCAGATCAGCGCGCCCACAAGGAGGAGCAGGACCGATGGGCCCGGCTGCCTCTGGGGGAGCCCCATGATGGCCGCCCGAGCTCAGCTTTCTTCCACATCCACAGCCTGGGGCTGATCTGGCTACCTCCTGCCACACCCCCGCCCCCAGCGCCTTGAGCCTGGAGGAGCCGGTTAGTCAGGCTGCGAGGCTGGCCAAGGCCTGGAAAGACCTGAAAATGTAAATGTACCCACCCTCTCCCACCAGCCCGGCCTACCCTGAGGGGGCTGGGCTGGGCTGGGCTGTAGGGTGGGGCAGGCTAGTGCCAGGCCCCAGTGCAGGACTGAAGGGGATGCCACCGGACCCCCAGATGCCAGCCAGGCCACCAGAGTCCCATGTCTGAATTGGGCTCCCAGCTAGCCTCCCTGCCCTGGAGAGGACCCAGTCTCTGGAAACCTGGGCTCAGGGCCACATGCCTGAGATTCCTGCACTCCAGGTGCCAAGAGCCTCCCTCTGGCCTTCCATCCCCACCTAGGGAGTGCGAGCAGGATGCAGAGGCCCAAGCCAACCTGTCCAGCTCCAGCCCCAGGACAGCACCCCCCCCCCCCCCCCCCCCCCGGTCCTACTGCCATCTCAGCACCCTGCCCTCCCTCCACAAGGCCACATTCTTGTCTAACAGGAGTCTGGAGTCAGAGAAAGGACCTTTGACAGCTGACAAGCCTCCCATTTACTTTAGTCCTTTGGGTTCTATTTTTCTGTTAAGATATAATTTAAGAAAAAAGATAATTCACATAAAATTCATCCTTTTAAAATCCACAGCACAGTGGGTTTTCACAAGGTTGTGCAAACATCACCACTAAGTTCAGAACGTGTGCATCACCCCGAGAGAACACGCTGTACCCATGATAAGTCACTCCCCATTCCCCTCCCCCGGCAACCGGCAACCGTCTACTCTCAGCCTCCACGGACTTCCCTGTACCGAACATTTCACATCGACAGAATCACCCAAGTGGCGAGCTGGGGCTGGCTTCTTTCACTTAGTGTTCTGTTGTCCAGGTTCATCCATGTTGTAGCGTGTGGCCGGCCTCTGTTCTTCCTTAGGGCTCCAGAACTTTCCCTCCACTGTACGGAGACCGGGCATTTTGTTTCCTGGCCCCTCGGCGGACAGTTGGGCTGTTCCCACTTTTTGGCTGTTATGAATAATGTTGCCACGAGCGTTCATGCACAAGTTTTGTGTGGACCTGTCTTCTGTTCTTGGATACATGCCTAGGGGTGGAATCACTGAGTCATAGGGTAACTACTTTAAGATTTTATTTTTAAGCAATCTCTACACCCAACATGGGGCTCGAACTCAAGAGTCACATGCTCTATTGACTGAGTCAGCCAGGTGCCCCCAAAACCCCAAACTTTTAGGTGGGAGAAAAATGCTTTAATATATAATATATTCATCTTTACACCAACACATAAAATATAAAAACACATAAAAAATTTAATTTTTTTTTCTTATGGAGAAAAAGGGTTTATGGAGGCAAAAGTACCCGGGGCCCACTCAGTATGTGGCCGGTGTCCCTGCAGCCCCGGGCCACAGTCACTGCCCCCAGACAGATGGCAGGCTGGGGTATTTGATCCTCCTAAGAGGGTTGAGAAGAATTAGAACTTCAAGGATGGGGTCAGACCAGCCCTGGCCCCCTTCCAGGCCCAGCTCTACTGTGAGCCTGGGACCCTGGGCCAGTCACTGCATCCTTGAACCTGTTCCCTCATCCAGAACCTGGAAGCCAGCAGCACCCGCCACGTGCAAGCAGCGTCTTACTCGGGGAATAAATGGGACGGTGGGCCTGGCAGAGTCACTGGACCACACGCGGTGAGAACTGGAGTGGGGACGGGGCAGCAGCCCAGGTCAGGGGGTGGGCTCTCGGGCCTCACCGCAGCTCGGTCATTGGGGAATGCGGGGCGAACAGGCAGTCTGCGGCTCCCTCCTGCTCGGACGCAGCAGGGTGCACGCACACGCACGCACACATGCACAGCCTCTCCACCAAAAAACACACCAAGGCCTGCTGACTTTGGCTATAGGGCATTTATTGCAAACAGAACATCTGAGGTATGAGAAGCTGACCTTGAACCCATGCCTGCCCTGGCTACGATGGGGCAGTCTCGCCTCACCCCACGCCAGGCCCCCGGCACTATGGACCCAAAGCAGCCCGCCAAGGGCAGGGCCCCACGCTCTGAGGTAGCTGCATCTTAAGCCCCCACAGTACAACTCCCCAGGCTTGCCCAACTCCCACGCAGATCCAGGCCTGGAGGGGAGGAGGGGGGTGGAAGGCAGGCCCCGACAAACACTGCAGCCTCTGAGGAAAGGCACCTTCCTGCCTGCCCATCCCAGGGACAGCCCAGCCGGCGGCGTGGGGAGAGGGCGGCTGGCTGCCGGAGGCAGGCGGGGCGGGGCTGGGGCCGGCCAGGCTGGGGGGGTCACTGCTGCTCCAGGCAGTCCTCGGTCACCCCCTGGGCAGCCAGCTCGGCCAGCACATTCTGCAGGTAGTTGGGGTCAGGGTAGCCGTGGCCTGTCACATTGCGGTCCATCTCTGTCTTGTGGTGGATCTCGTTCCACACCACTGTGTCCGTCTCTCCCGTGGTGCTGGACGTCCCTACTGTGAAGATGAGTCGCCTCTTCCAGGCCACCTTCAGCAGCTCCAGGACCTGCCGCGGGGGGCGGAAAGGGAGGGAGGGCCTGGTGAGCGAGCGCAGGCCTGGGCACGGGTTTTTCACCCTGGAGCGGCAGGGCACAGGGACGGTCGACAGCTGCTGGCATCCACTGCTCGCGCCCCTTCCCGGGACTGACCTGCCCCAGCAGTGGGGGCCAGGATGGGCGCAGTGGCGTTGGGTGCAATGCCAGCCGTGGGTGGGGCACGCCAAGGGGTGCAAAGCCCTCTCTCTCCGACCTGTACTGTGACCGCCGGCAGGGCCGGGGCCAGGCCGCTCTCCTGAGTGAGCCCACCCACAGTCCCGGGCCTGGAGCCCCATCTGTGGGGGTCCCCGACCTCCGGCTCCAGTCCTAACTCCTCTCTCAGAACTCTACCTGCTGACCTCACCGCCCAAGAGGACCCTCAGAGGGCACCACCATCCGCTGCTCAAGCCATACCTGGGGCCGGCCTAACTCGGCCCTACTTCCAAGTCAGCCTCTCCCTCCCGAGGGAGCCCGCGCCTCTCTGCTCCCCCACATCCAGTACCTGCCGGCCAGGCTCCCAGCAGCCAGAAGAAGCTTTTTCAAACCTCCAACCAGCAACACCCAGGGCGGCCTAGGGGTGCCCGATGCCCCACTGCCCCCACAAGGGGCTCTGGTCCTCCCCAGACTCTTCCCAGCCTCCAGCCCGGCCCACCTGCTACCACTCACGAGCTGCTCTGTCTGCTGGGAATGCTCTCCCTAGTCTCAGCGAGGAGGTGGCTCTGCAGGCCGTCCCAGTCACCCAGTCCTTTCCTGTCCCCTGCACCCCCACTGCCCCCACCCCACTGATCTCGTCATGCTAACCTGACTGAAGACCAGGTGACCTGGCCCGGGAGGTTGACAGAAGAGGCCTCCTCTCCAGTCATCTCTCCTGGGGGAGCATGCCTAATGCACAGCCGCCCCTGGGATGGAGGGGCCAGCACCCCAGCCAGCCCCAGAAGAAGAAGGTGAGCAGGGCAGAGCAGGCATAGCCACCAGGCTGGGCCCTTCCCCACCCCACCTGCTCGAACTGCCCATAAGCAGCCCCGGGGGGCCCCTTCCTCACCTTGCGGCCCTGGGCACTGTCTGGAAGGTAGCACTGGCGGGGAAACCCCCTGGCGGTGAACGGCTTCCCGGGGTTGGGGTGCTCTGGGCCCTGCAGGAGGAACGCAGACACTGGGTGTGGGTGCATCCTGAGAGGGGCCCAGCAGCCCAGCCCACCCTCTGCCTCCCCGGCCAGGGCTATTCCTGCACTTGAGACCAAATAAATCCGTGTCTCAGATCCCGCCCCTCAGAGACCGGACATGACACGGCCTTCCCTGACGCCATGCCACTCGGTTTGGCACAGACGCTCCTGCAAACTGATGAGGCCAGAGCTCATCAAAGGCCGGGGCACACGCTCCCACCCTGCTGGTGCCCTTCTGGGCTCTGGGCTCTGTGGCCGAGATGGCAGGGCCTCCTTCCTGACGCCCTCACCCCTTGCTCGAGATGGGGCCACAGCGGGGTCTGGCACAGGGGCAGCAAACAGGACGGGAGGGGAGGGAGCTAGAACAGTGGAAGGCCCTTGCTCGTCTGCCCTCTGCCACTCAGAGGCACATCACATACACCTCCAACCCCCCCCCCCCCACCAACACACACACACTGCTCTGTGGCTCTAAGGCCATCGGGAATGTTTTTAAAATTCACTATGACCCCCTGAGAAGAAGCAGAGGGAAACCAGGGAAAAGCATGTGGTTGGACAAAACAGGCACACCCCACCTGTCACAGACAGGCCCCTCTGGGTCCTGGTCTCCATTGCCCAGTACCTTCCCCACCTGCCACTGGTTCTGAGGTCAGCCCTGGCCCAAGCAGGAGGCCGAAAGACCCAGGGCTCCTATCTGGATCTCTACTGGGACCCTGGGACCTTCTGCTCAGGTTCCTGTCTTGTTCCTGACATTAGAGCTGGCCCCACCACACCCAAGGCAGGCCTGGATCTGGCCACTGAGCTGGCCTCTCAAGAGCAACTGCCCTCACTGTTGGCATCTCCCTGCCCTGTGGGATCCCCCGTTATTCAGCCCCTCGACACAAGCATTCTTCCTGCTTTATACACTTGGCCTTCTGCCCAGTACAAACCCAGCTACGATGTCTCTGCCCCCAGGATGCCCTCCCTGCATCAGGAAAGGGCTGCAGGCCACCTCTTTGCTTCCACAGCCCTACAAGCTTGTTCCGTCCCCAGACGCTGGTGCCTCCTGGTTCCTGGGAGCCTGAAATTGGGAGGCTGGGGCCTCCTGAGTGCCCCAGGGATCAGACCACTGAGAGAGGGGCGGCGTAGGAAGAAGACTGCCCCAGAGTGACAGGGACCGATTCCAGAACGGTCCCAGGAGGCTCCTCTCGTGCCCCTTACCTGGATGC